AAATTTCCGAGTAATGTAAAACCAGATAACGTTACGTGCATCGTAACACGTTTTATTTTATCCTATAATCACAATTTAAAACTATAACAAAAATATTTTTAACGACAAAGTTCAAAGCGCACGAAAAATCAGTCAGCTATGCCTGCGCTGGTAGCCACGGTATTAGTTGTTTACACTGAAAAAACGATTGTTTCTGATTTTGTAAATGCGAGAATGACTTCCAAAATAAAAGGCCGTTGCTGAAAGGCAAAAAACAGCTGGCAGGTATCTCAAAGAGGTAGTAAACTTTAAGACCTGGAGAAAAAAATACACGAAAGATAAATTAATTACTATTAGCAGACGCTTCGGAATTAGTAAGTTTTTAAAATTTTTATGTCAACATCTCTGAAGGGAAAATGTCAGTGAAGATTATGATTTCACAACAACACTAGTGGTGTTATGAAAATTCATAACAGTACTAGTAATGTAAAGTATGCCTTAACGTAACTCGTTGTCAACGTGTTATCGGTATGGTTACAATATAGGATAAAATAAAATTATGTTATTTTATAAATTTTCTTAAAATTTTAGGTGGGAATAGGTATCCAAATTTTGGTTGAACTAACTCGATAGACATGTACAACTAGTAAAAAGAAAATGTTACTAATGTCTATCAAACTTGCATATCTGTTAATAAAAAAAATCGCCTTGGCGTTAATTTTATTAATGAGTTATCCGTTTGTCATGGCACTAATGGCGTCAAAAAGACAGGCAGATAAGATATATTTTTGGTTTTTATTATTTTCTTTTGTGACACTTTTGCATATCCACTGGTTGTAAATTCAACTTTCAAGATACACAAGAAATTTTACAGATCAATACAATGTGAAGCGATTTTCCATAAATTTAATGTGGCAACAATGTCGGGATTGATAACGTCGGTTTACTGTGCTATTTATACTGAAACGGGACTGAGAAAGCTGTTGAACATAGTGGGTCTGGTAACGTTGGATGAATATGGTGTTAACATTTTTCAAGGAATAATTTTACCCCTCTACTTTTTTTTAAGTTTGTTATTGCAAAAACCATTAAATTTATTATATTATACTCGGAAAAACAGCCGGGCTTGGTAACGTCTGTTTAATATGTTGGGCTTGGTAACGACGGTTGGATACGTATATATATATATATATTTTTTTTTTTCATACATGTTATAACCTACCTATAATGCTTTGCCCACCCATCAAAAATCACCACGAGCCGCCACTGTACTGTAGGTGTCATGATCCATCGAAAAAATATGAAAGCAGCTAGTCGCCCAATGGACTCCATTACAATACTTGGCTTACACTCAGGAAATAAAAATTAGAAATCTTTTAGTGACACTTTTTATAACGAACAGAGTAAGTTCGTAAATGTTAAGATGAGTAAAAAAAACGTAGCCACAAAGTAAATGACAAAAGCCAATAATAATTCTTACGTAATAGAGGTCAATTGACAAACTATTAGTAAGATGCTTTGACTCCAGTTTAATAAATGATGGGCGGCGTATTCCTTTAATAAATGTTTTATTACACTAAATAGCATAATATTTACAACTGGTAAGCCAACTTATAACTATATTTGTTGGTATACGTAAAGGAACAATAAATTAAAGTGTACTTGAGATATTACAAAAATATGAGTTATGCACGTTCTACAACGTCCATTAATATAAATTAATAATATAAATGTACATATTTAGCCTAATTCTAAAAGAATCAAAATCGCCAGGTAATGCTCACAACCGTTATTAAAATTCTATATAAAAATTTAATACAAAAGTTTATCATATTTAAATTCTATTAGAATTAAGCACTTCTTGTGGTATACGAATAATGAAAAAAATGCACCAAAACGATAATTCTCTGTAAAAATTCTCGTTATTGATATTGATACAAAATTTTGGGAGCTTATATTTAGAAATAAAATAAGAAAAAGAAATGTAGGTACTTCAACACAACATTATAGAAACTGTCTTCCCAGAAGTAATACGTAAGCCTGTGATCAGGGCTACCTACTCCATGGGGAATATATCCATTTGAATATCAAACATGCAGTCAAGGGTGAAAACACCGACCGCTATATATATATATACATACATATGCTTAAAAAATGATTCATTACTTCATTACACGACCGAATATGAAAACCATAAGTGAAAAAATGAATGTATATTCGTATAACAGAATCCAGATGATTTTTTATCGAAAGTCGAATAGTAAGGTTAGCCTCAATTGTATTTAGTGACGGCATTTCAACAATTGTCTCCTGTTACGTTTCAACGGATATTTCCCAGTATACTCAAAAAACAGGTTGTTCCGCTTAAACAATACGATGGTTTTACTGATGACGTAGGACTAATGCTACAACTAACTTTATACTGTCCCAAAATGTCACCTTCATTTAAATGTGCTTTTATATTCTATGATCGGCATTTTTTTGTCATGCAAGAATGTCATTGTAGCTCGTCTTTATGCTAAAGATTGTACATCCGGTACAGGCTTAAATTAATTCAGAAGAGCATAGTTTTAGACTTTGTGAATAATTAGTTACTGTGTTCATAAATATACACAAGCTGTATCACAATTTCAAATGCAAAAATTATATGTCGGTGACTCATTTTCAGGAAACTATTGTGCTTTTAACTCTTGCAATGGCACTGATTATACTTCTAGTGTGTAAAATAGATGCTCAAGTCAATTCTTTCTGTTTCATTGCCCACAACTTTATCTATTTGCTATGAGTAAGTCGGTCCATTATTTTTATCGTTTTGTTAAAATATTTTTTATAAAACCGTTACTTTTAAACAAATTTGATTATCTACTGCAGAATAAGCATGTATACGTACGTTCGCGTGTTTTCTGTAAATGTTGTCTGAAATCAATATTGCATGATGTGCTAATACTCCCACAAAACTGTACCAATACTTTTAGTCTGATTGACAAACAGTTCAATATTGTTTGTAGCACTGTACGTTTATCTGGTGCTGAACTATGTTTTGTGAAAAATTAAAGCAACTAATTATCATTAATTTATTAAAAAATTACGCGTTATGCTAGAGACAAAATAATATGTGGAAGATCAGGCTGAATTTTCAAATTTAACCTACACAAAGTACTGCTAGAAAGTGAACCGTAACGAATCTAAGGAAGCAATGGCACACAGAACAAATAAAAATACAGTTTCACAAAAGCTCAGTAGATATCACTGGTTATTATTAGTATAAAAATTAATTTTTTACGTTAATTTAATTTTTATGTACTTAGATATGAATACGACAATACAAAGACATACACAGTTACAAGTAAAATGTTATTTGTATAAAATCACAATGTATAAATATGAATACATTTACCGCATATGAATATTAAACAAATATAGCTGATCTTACTTCATATCTTTCAGGTGAAATAACTAGGCAACCGTTATTTACGACAAAACAAAATCTACAAACAAACTATCGTTACCTAATTTACTTCTTTTGATCTGTAATTTTGCAATTATACATATGTATAAACAATGTTAAGAAAGATATGCAAGATCAGCCTGTATAAAAACGTCATGACAATGAACAAATTTAATGTATGTATGTACATACAAATATGTTAAATTTTATTATTTTGTTCCGTAACAAACTTTTCCAACCTCATTGGAAAATTATTAAAACTTTTATCACTGAAATATTTACAGTCTGCTAAGTCTGATGACATGTGTAATTAAATTAATTTTCCTGAAACTAACCTAAAATTTCACACAATGCTATCAATATCCTTTCGTTTTAGTCAAAGAAATCGTATTACTCTAATATCTTTGGTTTTAGTCAACACCATATTGGATATTATTTAGTTTCAGTGTTAAAAAAAAATATAGCGTAACCAATGTCTCCAATGAGATAAAAAAAATTGATAAGTGTGTGTATATTGTGTACAATAAAAATACATAATAAATGTCACACAGCTTATAACAGACTTTCTTACATGTCCTAGCAACAAAGCTAGTACATTTATTAACATCGTTTTAATGCAATCACTTTACATTATATTAGAAAATTAAATATCAGTCTGTGATTATTACACTTTTTTGTCACAAAAATGTGCTCGAAGCTATTACATGTAAGTATTATCAAACTATCATAGGCACTGATACATTTTCACAACATAGAAGATTTATATATATAAAAAAAAAACACCTCAAAGAAATTATTGCATCAAATAAGCGAGCATTAAGATGTTTTGAGCTGATATGACCGTAATATCTTTCGCCAATACTATTAGGCACAATAAAAATGACTACAACCTCATGAAGTAACTTTATTTTGTAGTTACAAGGTGTTTATCTACCTTGTACGTGGAACTAACTTATTTTTCACAACTCCGAGTGTAAAATGCATGAATAAATATACTTAAGCATTATGTGTAGCATAGAACTACAGAAACTAAACGCAGCAACATATTTCTATTTTCGATTCCAATATATTTATCTCTACTGTTTGGTTGTCATGATTCTATAAGATGAAAACAAAAGTGAATATTCAGAAGTTATGAAATGTGTTACGATTTTTTATACTTTAATTTTTTTCACCGGATGTTTCTATTTTTATGGAAAATAATCGACATATTAACAAGCTGTATAAATTACGGTTTACACTGACGATATAAAAAAATGTTTTTTACGGATTTTTCATTCTATAAAAATATGTTGCGAAATTTTTAGCAACGCTGTCAACAGTTTCTATGATTCTACTGTATAGACTGGAAGCCATTTTGTTTTTGTAATTTTGTAATGTTAACGCGTTGATTTAAATAATTTTTCGAACTTTGATATGATGCACAGTGTCTACAAAGAAGGTAACTTATTGGATTAACTGCAAAAACATTTAGCAACAAAATCTCTAAAAGATGACTAGAAAAAAAAACTTGAGTTGAATAACCATAAAAACTAGGAACATAACATACGCTAAATCGCTTAAATAAAAAACATTTTAAAACTTAACATTTCTAACATTAAATCACATGTGGGCAATACACCCTTGAACACAAGCATTCGAGAAAACTGGAATTATAAACTATTCATCATGTGTCCCCGTAATGTTTTCTTCTATTGTATTTGTAAAAGCGAAATCTAGTAAAAAACTATACATTCCTAGGCTGCACTACTGTATTATTGTTCAAACGCAAAGGCGTTTCATTATTAGAATTTTCGTCTGTGGGCATTTGTTCACTTAGTATGTTGCCCTCAAATCCAGGATTCAATATAATATTCGGAACTAGTTCTATAATCTCTTGTTCTTCTGGAACTATGAATCAATTACTATACTTCTACTTAAAATAACTGCAAAATGTAAAATAAATGTTAAAATTAATTAACTTACCACTAGGAAGGCGACATTCTTGGTATAATAAGAAACATGTTCCCAATCCCAGTAAAATAAGAGTTCCCATAACAATCCCAACGGCCACGGCCCATACTCTCGTGTCGAATTTGTCTGCTCCAGCTAACATGCGTCGAGCCAATTCTGGATTAAAAAACATCTTTTGCTACAAGTTTTGATTACAATTGACCACTTTGATAAAGAAGCAATGGATTATAATTATCAGCAAAAATCACAAGCGACGGCCATTATAGCAAAAGTGGTCCATTATACTAGATTCATAAGTAAACTAAATATAGCAATACTAGCGGATAAAAATGAAAATTTTAGTTCCTACCTTCTTCTTTATATTCATGTGAAGTAGTTCCAATGACTTCAGTTATTTCCCCCCTACCCAGTTTATTGGTAGCCCAAATTCTAAATTCATAGCTAGTATTCGGTTGTAATTTATAAACATCAATCTGTCGCTGAAACGAAAGAGTGAAAATTTTTAAATAACAGTTAAAGTACTAGGTTTGTGATGCTAATACTATATGTCCTAGTATAGGCAACAAAATCAAAAAAATTATTTAATAGTAATGCACAGAAATTATATAAAAGACACAGATTACATAGAAAATAGATATATTTCCTTCATGACCTTCCTGTATGAAGAATTTCAGTAGCAGAACGTTTTTCATTATGAAACAATTCTTCACTAATAATGTTCCGCCGAAAATGTCGTTTGGTTTTAGTTTTATGCTAAAAAAATGTATAGCCTGTATGTGTTTATACTTCGGAAGAATGTCGCGTAGAAATATGTTTGAACTGGATGAGTTTGCCGTTTCAAAACAAAGAACTAACACTATTAATTATGCCACAGTTGAAGAAAATGTTCTGAATATTATTATTATAATTCTTACTAAATTGTAGCGTGGCATCACCAAGGCTGCTGTCGGAAAGTCACCGCCTTTATGGTGACGAATGAATAATAATTTTAAGTCTTTATCTTGTTTATTAAAAAAAAAATAAAGTTTTCTTTTCATAACTTAACTCTGCTCTCTCTCTCTCTCTCTCGCCTTTTCGAGAACATGAAGTGACTCGTTCTCAGTCTGACTAATGGAACATTTATTATGACGTCATACACCTAGATAATATATAATAGATAAAAGAAAAAACAAACGGCCAAGCTTGGCATCGAACGAGGAATCGCCGGTTCGCGTTTCGACCTGTAACCCACTAAGCCACAATCTGGATATCCTCTGGATCTGGATTTTGATCATTTAAAATTTAAATAATATTTAAATATAATTTTTTAAAATGACGTCATCAAATCGTTGGTGGGGATGATTAGCCAAATTTTAGTCCGATGGACTTTGCTTCGCTCGGGAAGTCAAAATAATAAAAAAAAGGTACATTAGGCGAAATCCAACGTATCTGTCCGCATTTATTTTTTATATAAACTCTCGAGGTCGGCGCTTCTAGTGCTTATGATACGTATGTACAGCGACACGTATAAAAGGCTGTTGTAGTTTGAAAATTTTGATGTCTCAGGTAACAACTCAATTTTTGGCATTTTATATGTTATTGTATAAAATTTAAATGCATTTAAAAAAAAAATACTGCCATGAAAGCTCGAGTGATCCTTCTTTTGAATGCTTATTCATTTTACACATGATATCAGTGTTTAAAAAAGTCATTGATGCAAACACAAAGGAATAAGCGTATTTCGTATTTATGGAAAATGTTGAATATGTAACCTTAATAAATATTTGATATTGTTACGAAATAAACCCATACGCCGGCCCCGGTACGATGCCCATGGGTTTTCTCAAGGGCTTTCTAGTATGCACGGCAACCATGGGTGACTCATCGTCGATGACGGCGACCGGACGGCGTTCGCTAAAGAAAAGCTTGGAAACAGAAATCGCGATCGGTATTACAGAAAAACATCGATGGCCGAATATCTAGACAGTATGGGTTTAAATAGAAGCCACCTTCGGGAACGACTATTCAGTCAACGAATCAAGTCCAGTGAATGTTGAAAGAATCTAGTCAAGTTGCGCCGGAATTACTTTGTACATAATCGCTGTGTAATCAGTCGTGGAAGTTTGAGTCAGTAAGAAATAAATTGTTGAGTTTTACCCACGTCGATTTTAAATACCCGTCTTGGACGTTTCGACAGAAGTAAAACCTTATTTCAACTAAATGTTCGAGAAAGTCAATTTGAACATATGTATTATGGTCGTCTAATTAATATATATATATATATATATATATATATATATATATAATTTTTTGCTGTCTTTTTTAATGAAGTTTTTCAGTGGTATTTTTTAGTTGCCCGTTTTTACTTTGAGTTTATTCCCGTTTAATATCCCGTTCTTTAAAACTAAAATTCGTAGAATCCAAAAAACGAGACTTATTTGATGGTGCTTCAGATGTGACGAAGAAAGATCTGTTTAAGCAGCTTTAGACTAATTTGTTTAATTTACAAAGCAGTACAATAGTTTTAAAAAAAAAACAGTATGGAAATAGCACCAACAGCAACAGTCCAAGTAATTATATATTTAAATATAAAGTTGCCAATAAGATGGCAGCGCTATATTCTTCTGAACAAAGATAAAAAATGCACGATTACCAGTTATCACCATGTTTGTGGTTAATAGAGTAGCTTTCAACACGAAAGGGTACAGGTGGTGGGAGTGCGCAGAACATTGTTTTGGTTTGGCCTTACAAATATCGTGCAAGCAGTGGCAGCGGCGATGAATATTTCGATTTTAAAATATTAAAATATTGCGGTTAATAAAAATATAATTTTATTTTTAGTGAGCAATGATAACTGTTAAATTACGGTACAGTCGAAGCTCTAGTTATAAACGACAATTATGCTAGAATATGAACTGTGATTATTACTTCGATGTTAAAGGCAGAAAACCATACATATATCTAATAGTACTATATTGCTAACTGGCCTCAAAAGATTCCGAAAACATAACGGCAGAGCAATATATCGGACCTCTCTGTCTCTCTGTGGTACTAAACAGTACTGCGCAGACACTCGTACTTGTTTAATTTGTAGTCGATAGCGTGACTGGGTGCGTTTTGACATTTCGTACTTTCGCTTCTATTTTGTGTACATGCGCACAGACCCTCGGTACTCTTATAGACAGAAAACAACATCTTCTGTCTCTCTCTGTCCGTGAACACCGTTTCTATGTTACTTCTGAAGAGTTAGCAATATAGTAGTATTAGATATATGCAGAAAACGTTAAGCCTTATTATAATCCGACTTTACGGTATCGATAAATTGTGCCAGAAAATTAAAAACCATATAATTATAGTCATAGGTTGCTTATTCTCAGAGTTTTAACCCCGCTTTTATCTAAAGATTTAACTGTTGATTTAAGACTAGTCGACTATAAAATAGTATATGATACTGGTTTATAATGAGGGGTTCGTGAAATTTTTTACTCATGCTATAATCCCTTACAGTATAAACTCGTTTAATAATCAAAAATACCACATTTTGTGTGATAGATTATCATAATTTACTGTTACGTAAGTCTATTTTTTTAACAAACAAATTAATTTACTTTTATTAAATGGTTGTCTGTATTCTTTTGTAGAAATTGCTCTTTTTTAATTGTTTTTGAAAGAAGTATAACTCAGCCAAGCCTCCCTTCTCAATGCATCGATGTTACGCCACTGATGGCCCGGCTACTAGAAGTAATTTCACCACGAAAGGGTACAGGGGCGGGGCTTAAGTTGCGCGACTTGTAGTCGGGCTAGCAGTGGCGTAACATCAATGTGTTGAGAAGGGAGGCTCAGCTTCCGCTGAGTTATATTTCTTTCGAAAACAATGAAAAATAGACCAATTTCTACAATAAATGTATTTGTTTGGTAAAAAATAGGCTTACGTAACAATAGGGATTATACTGCCGTGCTAAACCAAAACAACGTATCTGTACTCGCGCCGTTTTCGAGATAATGGCGTTTGAAAATTGGGTTACCTCGAACCGATTAAAATAACTTGCGTTTTTCGCTAACTTTGAGTTAACACACGATGGGAAATGATGTTTTTAGTAGATGAGTTCGCCCCGAAATCAATAGTTAACTTTATTTTGCGCTAAGTGTAGTTTATTGTATATTTTTCAGTCTTTTTTTCCATTTAAAAATGTTGACAGTTCCACGACAAAAATAAGGTGTCTGCATCCAAAGGCTGATACCGTAATCCGATCAGTACAAAAAGAGCTTTATACATAGAAATTTTAACGTAACTTTAAATTGGAAGATCAAATTTTGCTCATTCTTCATTTAAAAATAATATTTAACAAAAAGACGTATCATAACTCAAAAGGATGCGGCATTCAGGAATTGTAGCTTTGTCGGCCCATTTACATAGCAAAAATAACGCATCTTTCACATACGTTATATTTGCTATGTAAGTGAAATATGTATTTTAAAACGTAGATACGTAGATACGTTAAATGTATCTATTGTACCGGAAATACGTTAAATTTGACTAACAATACAGTGATAAAAAACGCTATGATCAGATTCGTTGAATTACTAATTATGCAATTATTAAATAAAAAAATACCTTAGAATTTAATAATTATATACCTTGACAATCCTTGAAACTTGTTTAATTTAAAAAGACCACAAACTCAAAATCGCCCAAAATTGCAATTACGTTGTTTTTGTTTAGCAGGGCAGTATAACATGAGTAAAAAATTTCACGAACCCCGTATTATAAACCAGTATCATACGCTATTTTATAGTTGACTAGTCTTAAATCAACAGTTAAATCTTTAGATAAAAGCGGAGATAAAACCCTGAGAATTAGCAACCCATGACTATAGTTACATGGTTTTTAATTTTCTGGCACAATTTGTCAATCCTATAAAGTCGGATTACAATAAGGCTTAACGTTTTCTGTTTTTAACCTCGAAATAATAATCACAGTTCATATTTTAGCATAATTGTCGTTTATATAGCTGTACCGTAATTTATCAGTTGTTATTGCTCACTAAAAGTTACCTTTTTACTTCTTTTACTTAGTTTTTTATTCAACTAATACATCATAATACAGCATTAACAAACCTTTAAATTCATTTTCTATAATGTCAACGCTAATAAAATAGAAAATTGATATTTTTATTAACACAAACAATATTTTGATATATCAAAATCGAAATATTCATCGCCGCTGCCACTGCTCTCACGATATTTGTAAGGCCAAACCAAAACAATGTTCTGCGCACTCCCACCAACTGTACCCTTTCGTTATGAAAGCTGCTCTACTGCCTCTATATATACAGGTCATCATAAATGATTGTAGTCAACTTGGCTTTGAAAACAAATGAATTTTTTGCTGTTGCCACTTCATAATACGGTTCGAAGTAATTCGAACTATTAATTAAATGTCATGCTCTGTTTGAGGTTATTTTCAAAAATAAATAAAACATTCTTTAAGTGT